AATTGAGTGGGAGCATTCCAGATAGCATCGGAAAACTTTCTAAGTTAGAGAGTATAGATCTCTCTAACAATCAACTGAGTGGGAGTATTCCAGATAGCATCAAGCAACTTTCTAAGTTAAAGAGCATAGATCTCTTTAGCAATCAACTGAGTGGGAGTATTCCAAATAGCATCAAGCAAATTTCTAAGTTAAAGAGCATAGATCTCTCTGACAATCAATTGAGTGGGAGTATTCCAGATAGCATCAGGCAACTTTCTAAGTTAGAGAGCATAGATCTCTCTCGCAATCAACTTAGTGGGAGTATTCCAGATAGCATTTGGCAGCTTTTTAAGTTAGAGAGCATAAATCTTGCTGGCAATCAATTGAGTGGGAGTATTGCAGATAGCATCATGCAGCTTTCTAAGTTAGAGCGGTTACTACTTCCCGGCAATCAATTGAATGGGAGTATTCCATACAGCATTGGGCAGCTTTCCAAGTTAAAGTGTTTATATCTTGTTGGAAATCAATTGAGTGGGAGTATTCCAGATAGCATTGGACAACTTTCTAAGTTACAGAAGCTATCTCTTGATAGCAATCAATTGAGTGGGAGTATTCCAGATAGCATTGGGCAGCTTTCAAAGTTAATGTCTTTATCTCTTTCTAGCAATCAATTAAGTGGGAGGATTCCATATAGCATTGGGAAGCTTTCTAAGTTAAAGTGGTTAGATCTTTCTAAAAATCAGTTGAGTGGGAGTATTCCAGATAGCATTGGGCAACTATCTAAGTTAAAGAGGATATTTCTTTCAAGCAATCAATTGAGTGGGGGTCTTCCATATAGCATCAGGCAGCTTTCCAAGTTAAAGACTATATATCTTTCTAGCAATCGATTGAGTGGGAGTATTCCAGATAATATCGGGCAACTAGCTGAGTTAGAGAGCATAGATCTTTCTAGTAATCAATTGGGAATAGGATTTCCCAAATGGCTTTTATTGCAAAATACAACAACCATGGTTGATCTCTCTAATGCTAGCATCTCAGGTCCTCTTCCAGAAAACATTAGTCATATGATGCCAATGTTGCAAGAATTATATCTTGCAAATAACCTCATGAACGGATCAATTCCAAAGTCGCTATGCAAGTCAAAATTTTTGGGAGCTCTTGATCTCTCAAACAATATGTTTTTTGGAAGTATTCCCAATTGTTGGAGAAATAATCAATCATTCAATTTTATTGATCTATCTTCTAACAATCTCTCGGGTTTGTTTCCGAGCACAATGGGGCTACTTCCTTGTTTATTGGTACTACACTTGAACAACAATAGTCTCAATGGGGAACTACATATGGCTTTCAAAAGCTTCACTTCTTTACTAGTTTTGGATTTGGGTGAAAATAAATTTTCTGGAAATTTAACAAGCATTGTAGGAGGCGAGATCAACAACCATTCTTTAAAAATTCTACGACTACGAAAAAATTTGGTTTCTGGTTATATTCCTTTGGAACTATGCTCTTTCTCTCAATTGCAAATTTTGGATCTTGCAGATAACAATTTGACAGGAAGGATTCCTCCTTGTTTTGGAAAGTTTCCAATTATGGTGAATGCAACACAATTGTTGAAACGCATTACTGATGGTTATTGGTCTTGGGTGCATTTGAAGGAAGTTGTGAAAGGGAGATACCTTGAGTATACAAGAAAAACCCTGGGACTCCAGAGCAATATAGATCTTTCGAGTAACAATCTAATAGGATCTATACCAGAGGAGCTAATTTTCCTTAAGGATTTACACATTTTGAATCTATCTTGGAATCATCTCTCAGGAAAGATTCCTGAGAAAATTGGACAAATGGAGAATTTGGAATCTCTTGATTTCTCCAAAAATGGCCTCTCAGGAACAATCCCAAAGAGTATGTCAAGTTTAACCAAGTTAAGCCACCTCAACTTGTCCTACAACAACTTGTCAGGGCCAATTCCAACGGGTTATCAGCTCCAAACACTCGAAGATCCAACCATTTACATTGGTAATCCTCAACTTTGTGGAGCTCCACTCCTGAAGAAATGCTCAAATGATGTGCTACCTCCACCAACTGACAACTTCAAGGACAATGATGAAGGTGCACTTACAAGAATGTGGTTTTACATCATCGTGATGTTAGGCTTTGCAACTGGATTTTGGGGAGTCGTGGGAATTTTGATTTTTGTAAAAACTTGGAGATATGCTTATTTTCGATGGGTGGATGATATCGGACATTGGATCCTTGTGGTTATAACATTGAAGGTGGTAAGATTTAAGAAGATGTTCAATGGCAACCCAAATGATCAATGAGTAATATATGAAGTATGTTGTTGTTGCTACATTTATTACTAAACTAGTTTCATAACCCAGCATTGCAGGGTATGGTGTCAAGTCCAACTTTGAATGGCCAAACATTGCATCGGCTAATTTTAAATGAACACATAAGTATTGGGGTGTGTAAAGTTTTCAATAATATAACATATGCTATAGTTCTAAAGGGTTTACAAATTTAAAAATTCATAAATTCATACAAAAACTAGAGAATTTTGTGCAAGGCTATCAGATTCCATGGATTTCTATCTTTTCAGTTTTTTTAAAAGAAGAAAGGAAAAGAGAGAGAGAGAGAGAGAGAGAGAGAGAAAGAGAGAGAGATAGGAAGAATGGCTCAGCTAAGTATACAATAATAACCAAAATAAAGTCCTCCTATATTCATGGCCAAAGTTTGGAACTTTTAATCACACACAATTAAATCACTGAATTGAGTATCCAATACAATGCATCTCTTACATAAAATTCCCATGTCTTCAATATTTTCTAAAACACATTTTCACATTGCATAAGGCATATCAACCAGAGACTCATAAAATACTGTCTAGGCTAAATAGTGAAGTCCGTCATGTCAATTTCACCCTGAATAGATAACTAATTTCTACAACAAAAAATGAAACGTACTTAATCATTTGTTGTTTTTAATTTTATGTCAACACTCTCGATAGACAAAAGGCTTAAAAGTTGAAACACACAATGCAAAAGAACCTAGATAAACTTCAAGAATAAAAAGAATATCCACAAAAGGATAGGGATTAATACCTCCAGCTACAACCTTAGTACTTAGTGTTCCCTTTCTCCCAACAAACCATCTTCGAATAAAGCCACTAAAAAAGAGTATATCTAAGCGAGAAAAATATATAGATAATTATGTTGGTATATCCTATATTATTAAAATAAAATATAAGCGTGGAGTTTTTGTGGCCAAACCTTGAGTCTTCTTTATCTGTACACTCATGAAGGTGCAAATGCCACCACAATTGCTATAAAATGACTAACATGTTTTCAACCTACAAAAGGAATTATATTAAGAAAATTATGCAACTAAAGCTACAAAAAAACCTATGAGATAAGATTGTAGGTCTCCATCATGTACATGATAACATAATACATGTGTAGACAATTTATATAACAAATCTTACTTCTTAGACAATATTTCCAAAGTAAACAACTCTCACTTCATATTTCTATTGTCATTCCCATCTCTACTACTTATAGAAGAGGTTGAGATTTTAAGTTCAAAAGTCTTAAATTCAAATTTTTGGAACAGACCAAGAGGGTGAAAAGAGATTTAGAAAATGAGAAATAACTATCCCCATTTGTATTAAAGGGGAAGATGAAGAAGAAGAAAGAGAAAATTGAAGGGACCAAAAAGATAAAATACAATTCATTGAAGAAAATTAAAGAAAATGAAATAAACTCACAACATCTAGCCTTTTGGTTAAGGCAATGTTGGTGAAGAGGAAGAAGAAGACTCATACCCTAAACTAAAATGTGAAAAAATTGTAGAATTGCAAAAAGAAGCTCTATCTTTTTTCCGAACACCATCTTTCCAATCATCAATTGAAGACCATTCCAAAGTTCAATCTATGCTCTTCACCTTTGAGATACCATATATCATTGAAATAATGTTCAAGCATTTTATATTTGACTTCAAAAGGCAAGATTGCTAAATTAAGCCTATTTAAAATTAGTACATGTTCTCATTATATATATATATATATATATATATGAATAAAGAAGCTAGTACATGTTGATACCCTGCAAATCTAAATTTACAATCATCTCCTCTTTCTTAAAGCCCTAATAACCATGAATAGCTAAGAGAAAATTTGGAATAAGATGAAGAAAAATATCATATCAACTTCCCATCTCAATGTTTTATTGCATTTGACTATCCTTATCTTCCAATTAAAAGGAGTTGTTCCCAACTATGAAAGCAAAACATTGGGCATGGTTCCACAATTATCTTCTTAACATAATTAAGTTCCATTATTCATCATTTCAAGCTTAATATCTAACAAATTAAAAACTTAAAGCAAAACAACTTTAGATGTTTTGCCTATATCAAATTTGATTATATTAATCTATCATTCCTTGTTATAATTAACCAAAAAAAGAAAAGAAAAGAGAAATTAATGCAAAACCTCTATAATGAATAATAGAGTAAAAACATGAGTTTGAACATTCTTTGTCCCAAGAAAAGAAAACAATTCAAAATTAACTGAGATGGAGTTATGTTAATGTGTTATAAATTTTAAAGTCATGAATTGTAAATTAAGTTGAAAATCTAATAGGTTTCAAATTAGGCTTATTTTTATATCCATTTGGCATATAAGCAGGGTACACACTTTGAAGAAAAAACATATTATTATATAATTTCAACTTATCAAGATATCAACTTCCTATTTTAAATAAAAAAATAAACATAAATTATTCTTTCATTCTTAATCATATGCTTTTCAATTATTAAATGTAAGAAACAATAATTTCCTTTTTCTTAATCAATTATTGTTCTATTCAGTCATGTCTTTAGACTTAACTAGGTCAACGATAATGTCACGTCCCAGAACCCAAATCCGAGGCATGGCAGACGCCGTACACTCGTGAAAGAGTCCCACAAATGCACAAGGCTCAGAACTTATCATACCACAATCTGATACCACCAAAATTTGAAGATAAAATCTTTAAAATTTACTCTGATATCATAAAATTTCCAAATACACTCTAGTTTACAAGATCATGATTTATATCTAAAATCTATATCAATCTCGAAATGGCTAGCCTTCTAACTCATCACTTCCCGTGGTTTTCCCGTCCTCGGTTTTGCTTCCTGAAATAGTGGACAAGGAAAACTATGAGATAAACTCAGTAAGTAAAATATTGGGTGCCCCTTATTAAACTCATAGCATGCCAACAAGTATAATCACGAAAAACGGATACAGTACGAAAACAAAATAGACGTCTCCTCTATAGATCACGGCCAATGTTATAAACCACCCATTGGCAGGTGCACTATTTACTAGTGTATAATCCCCACTAGCAAGGTCACTCGAACGAACTGGTTCTATCACTAACATGTCGACATGTGCTAGCGTTTAACCCCCACTAACAGGGTCACTAATAACAACCACATCGGAGACAAAACAGGCTGAAGTTAACAGAAAAATCATAATTCACCAATCACTTTCAAATCATCAGGACAATCAATTAAATTTCAAGTAAACATGCTCAATTTAATGAAAAGCATAAAAATTTCACTTCAAATCAGTCATACTTACTTTTGCATAAAACGGGTTTAATCCCGCCATCACTTCAAAAACAAGTCAAAACATACTTTTAAAAACAGTACAGGCATTATCATAAATTTACTTACCTCACTCGCATAAAATCGAAGACTCAATCTTAGTACTAAACTGACAGAACAATCAGGAACCTAATCAAAATATCCAAGAATTAATTACCATACCACGGATTCAAAAGTAAAATCACCATGACTACCCCTAATCACGATGCTATTCTTATCAATCTCCAAATGACCGGACATCTTCAAATTTATTCTTATATTACAACTAAACATTTAAATCCAGTTAATTGTTGGCCATTACCCGTGAACAGTACCGTGAACAGTGCTCATGCCTTGAACAGTACTGCAACTTCCAAAAATTGGCCAAAACACTAGCTAATCTCACGGTATTTCACTCCAAAATCTCACAACAGTCAATTAACACTCAATCACATAAATACCACTTGAATTAATGCTTAAATTTGTCCTAAAGCTGCCGGAATTCATCCCCATTTTCTGCAGATTTTTGGACACACAAGGCAGCAAATAAATGGACAAATTCGAGGCTTGGAGGGCTGTCAACATACCAGAATTTTCCAGCCAGCAAAACCGGACCTGGCAGGGGAGAAGAAGCCGACGGCAATTTCTGCAGGGGACTCACGGGCAACCAAAATCTGGAGAAACAACAGATTTAACATGAACCCAAGCTAATTTAAGGATAAAAAGATGGATTAATGGCTGTTCTTACCGAAAAATACCCAGAAATCACACCCACCAGCTGCAGCTCACGGACAGGGGAGGGGAGAAACCGAGCAGATCTGGAAATTCTGCAGAGGGGGGAAAGGTTTCTGGGTTCCTAAGTTCGGCTTTCAATAAGAAAAGAAGGTAAATCCATCAAGCTTTGCCGACTTTCTCAAGAGGAGGGCTGTCGGTGGCTGGGTTTCTTTTGGGGCTGCAGCGGGTGAGAAGGAGAAGAAGAGCAGAAACGCGCAAGGCTGAAGAAAGAAAGAAGAAAAAAAATACCCGGTCCTTATCCAAAATTTTACTCTTTTAAGTCCTTCAAGTTTGGACATTTTGGCTATTAAGCTCAAAACAATATTTTCTTCACAATCAAGTCCTTAACTAAGTGCTAAACATCACAAAATTTTGGGGTATTACAGATAACTTCTGAAGTTTGCCAAATTAATACTCTCCTAGCCAAATTAGAAAGCAAGGTTAGTTTCCCAATTAACTTAGTAAATTCATAAGTTGGAATCAATAACCATTATAAGTTTCATAAAATGGATAACATTGGGTATTTAAGAAACATACCTTTGAAAGAGAAATGATCAATACTTCTTCACAAACAGTGGCCAAAATCTAAGTTTCCTTTATTGTCTTTTTTCCTAGTTTGTGTTATAGAACATTCTAAACGTCCAAATAAGGCTCTAATTATTAAACAATTTCAGCCACATACAACAATTATGCATCAAGCATTACAGTCTATGATAACAAAATCAAAATTAAAAATTAAAAAAAAATATATACCAATCAACAAATCCCAACCACCTAAGTCGAAAATCCCATATCCAACACCCACAAAAAAAAAAAAAAGAAAGGAAATTTGGAATTTGAAAAAAATTCGACATGTTTCAGCCAAGAAGAGGAATGTGAAAATTGCTTATAAAAGAATTTCAATAACTATAAAAACAACTCATAGGAGCAAAGAAAACATTATATCCTTTACTGGAATAAAACCATTTTGAAATATTAAGATCAATCTCTATTGATGCAAAATTTATCCACTGCTCAAAATGGGCTAAAAAATGAAAAATATATACCATAATAAAGATTGTGTTACACACAACAAAATTTACTCAGATATCTCTTGAATGCAAGAAATTAAAAAGATATTAGGATGATAAAAGGACTCACATAATCAATTAGAGTAGAAAATATAAACGATTGTCAACCATCAAGCTAATAATTGCAACAAACCAAATAAATCTAATGAGTTTGAAGGAAATCATCAAGGGACCACAAAGGGCTAGGGGGAGGTAGGGAGAATTCTTCTCACCATAACAATCAATGGAATTATGACTAAAAATTGTTGTTTTGCAACATGTCATCTCAGAAAAAATGTTTTCAATAGGGTTCATTTTTAGAAATTCAAGGGCTTTGTTTGATACACCTAACTCAAAATTCTCAACTAGTTTGACATACACACCACTGTACTCTATAATAATGTGTACCTTAAATAGTTTTGGATGATTGCCAACATCAAATATACTAACCATGTTGAAAAGTATGGGACATAGATTAAGCAATTCAATAACTACAAATATCATAATAATCAACCATAAAAACTTGACTCTCATACAATTTACCTCCAAACATTAACTTCTTGAGTCACTTCTCAACAAAATTCATCCTATTCATCCAAACATATTTTTATATAACTCATTTGCTATTGTAAAAATGTTAAAACTTCCCAACCATGTTAAAGAGTATGGGTCTGTTGTACCTATGATTTTGATGATTACAAAACACATTTGAGTAACTAATTGGTTCATTTAAGTGTATAGTTAAAATGTCAAAATATTGCAAAATAAGTAAACTTGGACTGCACTTAAAAATGGACCAGAAAGGCTTGAATATGTGTAGAGAGCCGGCTCTTGAAAGTTGTAGTCGGCTCTGTTGAAATGGAAGTGCAGAGAGTCGGCTCTGGAAGCTGTAGCTTGCTCTACGAGTAAAGAATTAAAGATCGTTGTTTGGCGCGCACGGAGAAAAGACGCAGAGCCGGCTCTAACTTTGCAACCGGCTGTAAAGGCACATTTAATACACAACGGTCGACTTATTTGAAGAATAATTAATATTTTTAAAGTCGGAATATCAAAGCCAGCTTTACGTTTTTGCAGCCGGTTGTCCAAGAAAACAGAATGTTTAGCAAACCTGCAAAGCCGGCTTTGCGTTTTGGAGCTGGCTCTACGGAGAAAACAGAATGTGCAGAATCCCGCAAAGCCAACTGTAGAAATGTGAGCCGGCTGTTTAGAGCCGGCTCTAGGAAGCTAAGCCGGCTTTCCTAACAATCCTGCAACTCAAGCTTTGTGTCCTGCAGAGCATTTAATGACCCCTAACGGCTAGAAACGGCTATTTTCGAGCAAGGGGCTATAAATATGGTTGGTAACAGATCTGAAGAAGTTTAGAAAGCATTGCATTGAATATCTTTACCTACCTACATGAGCTTTAACTTAAGTTTTTGATCTTTGAGAGATCTTTACTTGTAATCCTCTTCTTGTTCTATTTGTGAGTGATCTTGGGGGTGTGATTAATCCTTCAAGAGTGATTTTTAGAGAGGATTCTTGGGGTTTAAGTGTAAAGGGGTGAGATTTGAGAGAAGCACCCTTTTTCTTGTAAAAGGATTGAGTGGCTCCTTTAAGCCACCCTTGTTGTTGTTAGTGGAGAATGTGGAGGAAATCCTTGGTGAGTGAAGCCAAGGTAGAGGACTAGGTTCCAAGTGGTTGGACCGAACCTCTATAAAATCATTGAGCAAGCTCTTCTTCTCTATTCTATTTTTGGTTTTGTGATTGTAAAAAGGGGAGAATTTTTGGAACTCCAATTCACCCCCCTCTTGGAGTACATTGAGTCAACAGGGTCAATAGATTAAGCAATTCATGTACAACTTTCCTAATTCAACCTCAAGTGAGCCACACAGGTCTGATCAAGATCAAGCTAATATTTTTATGGCATTATATGGATTTTCACCTTTCTTTAGTGATTACTATTATTAAAATGCTAAAGTTGAAGTGGAAACAACTCCAACATCAATGACACCATTGCTTTAGTTGTAAATTGATAATAAACTACTTCATCTTCAATTTTGAGTTTCAATAGAATGCATCATAGAAATATCATATCAACAAAAATTATCAAATTTCAAAAAAAAAATCAAAATCAAAAGAAAAAAGTTGATGACAAAAAAAAGTAGAAAAATAAAAAACTTCAAAATAAATAGAACATGGGTTTAGGCCAATGATGCCAATGAAAATGGAGTGGAACTTTTCCCTCAGAGGACCACGTGCTTCTTGTCCAACATAGCCATTTTTGGTTTGGTTTTGAGAAATAATAATAGAAATCAGAAAAATAAAGGAAATTGTAGAGACAATGATGAAAAGAATTGTTACCTCTTTAACATTCATTTCAGCATAATCTTGGCACAACATCTCCCTCCACTAGTAAAATCCCTATCTTTAGCAACATGGAAGCATGTTGCTGAAAGTGCTTCCCATGTTGCTGAAAGTCCTTCAACAGCATGGCTTTGGTTGCAAAAAGTTTTGTTGGAGAAGGCTTGGTGGGTAATACATTACCAACCAAAATTTTGTTGCTGATGTATCAACAACATAAGTTACATTGCTGAAAATATATTATCAGCAACGTAGCTTATGTTGCTAAAAACATTCACTGGAATCTAATGGGAGTGAGGGTGAATTTTCTCACCCTCTTTAGCAACATAAGCCACGTTACTAAAAGTATGGTTTCAACAACGTGGCTCATGTTGCTAAAAATTAGTGGTAAATTAGTAACCAAAACTTGGCCCCATTTTCAGCAACACAAGCCATGTTGCTGAAACTAGATTTTCAGCAACATGGCTTGTGTTGCTAAAAGTTAGGAGGGGAGTGTGGTCTCTCATTTTTCAATAACATATGCTTTGATGCTGATTATAGGTGTACTATCAGCAACATAGTCCTTATTGCTAATAGTGAACTAAATAGTAAACCACCATATTTTCAGCAACATAGCTCTTGTTGTTGATGTTTCAGAATGTTTGATAAAAAAAAAAAATTATACCTACTAATATTCTAAATACATATTTTTTATTTTCACTTATATGATAATTAATATATTACACTAATTTTATATTATAATTATTAAATTTAACAATATTATAATATTTAAATATGAAATTCACTTTTTCTTTTTTATAATCACCAAATATTAAATCGCTTGATATCTCACATACAATATAATTAATTATACCTACAAAAAATAATTATAACTACATAATAAATATTTATTAATTAGATACCATTTATATAATTTAGCTTAATAAATTTAAATTAAATCACTCAAGTAAATTAATATTTGGTTAGGTATCTTACTAAACTTGAATTTTTTACTGTATTAAGAATTACGCACAAAACAACAAAATAACAAAATTGTTAATTACTATATGTAATTATTTATAAATATATTAACTTTCAAATAAATTGATACATACTTAATAATGTAATATTTACAAAAATATTTCATACAATATGCTTGAAGGGAATTGAAGTAACTGATGAAATTTATTTAATTATTGATATATATGAGAGAATTTAATGATAATAAAGAATAAGTAAAATAAACAAATTAGAGAATGAATAAAAATGGGTGATTAGATATGGAGGACATGAGGTAATAGAAAAAAGAAGAAAAAAAAAAAAGAGACTAAGAGATGTGGAGGAGAGGTGGAGGATGGTGCAGGCGCAGGAGAATGGGATGGGAGGATGAGGAGAATTGAAGAACATGGAGGGATGGCTTAGCATGAGGGTATATATAGAACTTTCAACAACATAAACCAGGTTGCTAAAAGTTTACCATCCTATCACCAACATATTTCATGTTGTTAAAACTTATTTGAATTTCAAATTCCATTATTCATCACCAACGTGTATCATGTTGCTAAAACTTAAAATAGATATTCTCCACCACACTACTTAATGAATAAAATTATTATATTTTAATTAATTATTAATCTTTAAAAAATCATTTTTATATATAAAATTTAATTTATTAGTTGGTTTTGTTTAATCTATTAAATTTTATTTAACACCTAACACATTAATTAATACAATTACATTATTTATTAACATATTTAAATAATTTAAAACTCAATTTTGTCTAAAAAAATATGTGAACACGCATACAAGGCTATATAAATATTTCACATAAAATTATAGTGATTTCTTGACCAATAGTCGACTCTTAATAAATAGAATCAACTATACCTAGCATTCAGAACGTTCTCAACTCTCTGAAATTTGGGAATCGAATGTTAACCTTTTTTAATCGACTCTTGAAGGCTTGAGAATCGAATCCAACTTCTTAGATTCGACTCTTTATTGCTCAAAATTTTAAATTCAAAAGATTAGGTGGCAATTCTAAAATCATTTTATTGGTGAGGTGGACAATTTCTTTATGTCCACATCATATTTTTAAGTGAATCCCTTTCTTTATAAATTTTAATATATTAATTAATGCATTAAATTAAATATACTATAACCAATTACATTGGTAAGTTCCTTAACTCCCTAAAGTCTTAACTTAATTATTTTTTTTAATGTATAATTATCTTATACTTAATTACAATAAATAATGGGACCCACAATTAATTAATCTTCTCCCCTCTCCTTCTCCTTCTCCTTCCCCTTCCGTTGCGTCCCATTCTCTCCCTTCCTCCTCCAATGTACCTTCCCTATTTTTCCAATGTTATCACACTAAAACCCATTTAAATTTATCAAAGAACAAACAAAGAATTAGTATTGAAGAAAGCAAAGATACTCATTCCCATTGAAGAAAGCAACCCCAATTGCTACATATCTGGGTTTTGAAATCAATAAAAACAAATGCATTTACAATTGCCACTGTTCATCTACTCCAGCTCTAGCCTTCCCCTTCCAATTCCATTTATATGCAAAATCCTTAAGATTCTTTCATTAATTTTAGAACAACTCATATAATGAAATGAATTAATCATAAACTAAGTTAAATAAGCCAAAAAAATAAAAATAAAAATAAAAATAAAAACTT